GGGGGCTTGTCCAAAGAGCCAAAGATCCCCTCCACTCCGAAACCTGTCTCCTGGTGACCCATGCACGGTAGAGGCCAATCGAGGGGCATCTACCCTTACCGAGCGAGACAATTCTTTAATTACTTAACCTTTCCTCTGGTGAACACGTGTGCGGGTGTCCCTGTAGAATTGCCCTTAATTGTTAATCTGATGCACTTTTCTCACCGTGAATTAAAGATCAATATCACCCCTATCCCTTTCTGGCTTAAACGCTTATTGAAACTAATAAAGTCCTCCCACGAACCCCTTCTTCGGAACATGCTTTGGGCTGAATCACAGCCATTCATTATGGCCACTTACACCACGGTCTGGCTGCAGATGTGAAAGGCTAGGTTGAAGGTACCCTGTAAATGCATTTCAGGATTCCGACGGTGCCCAACATCGATGGCAGCAGGACAGGAAGAAAGGTCAGGTCTTCCGATGATACATTTATCAGCTGTCCCAGGTTTTAGGGCATTATGATGAACCATGTTTGTAGGAGCAAGTCTCGATTTCCTGTAGAGCTACAGAGCACAGGACACGGCAGAGGGAGCTCATGATCACTATCCTCCAGTAAGGGCATAATCTCTGCACGGCAACACCACGTCCCCCCACGACTCGTACTTTCCATCATTCCCACGGCGTGCTCACTTCCCTCTGGGGACCGGTCAGGGATCGGGGTTTGTTAAAGTCGCAAAAATGAGATCTTACCACTCCAGGAAGTCAGTGATTAAAAATAGAACTGTAGCTCTTTTCCAAATTGTGGATTTGTTCTCTTCAGTGCTGAAGGTCCAAGACATATCCCATCCTAAGCGTAACTGAAAGTTACCAGCATTTATCTCCCTTCTACTGACAACCTCTTAGAATACACATCGCTGATGTTGAATACGTTCCATGCATATGGAACACATCCTGAATTTGTTCAATACGCGTTTAACGTGGGGGCCTGGACAACAGAACACTTGCGGTAAAGTTCATGGGAATTTATGAATACACAAATCACGTGGGTGCGTATAAAGCTATCATCCTTGAAAACATCCTCTTCAGCCTGAACATCTGTATATTCGCAGAGAAAAAAAGAAGCGGTTTCTTTCAACTTAAATGTTGTTCCTAGCCACGAAGCACTGTTTTCGATGTATCTGGGGAGGAAAGGGGCCAACATTTCTGGCTCCTCATGCTGCAGAGTGACCAAGGCTCACCTCGCTCTGCCGAGGACAATGTGAAACGCGGCTCACATTCTACCCACTGCCATTAACCTTTTAAAATGTGGCCTTGACCAATTACGCGAAAGAAAAACTACTTTGTGAATAAAATTAACTCGCTGAATTCACCTGTTCCTGTGCGGCCTCTGATTTCTTTTCAGAATAAGCAAATACCTCTCCATCTCCATGGTAATTAAGATGCGGACATCGGAGCTCCCGTGAGAATTATCAGGATGCGTTCTACTTTTGGGGCATGAGACCGGGACTCTTCCGCTTCCACCTGTAAATTTCCCTGGTCTTCTTCCACCTCCTCTGTACTGAGACCTAAGCGGTAAGTCGGCACAGTCTTCATGTCCACTCCGACTGAGAAAAACAGCCTTCACAGACATTTTGCTGTGCTTTTTGATCCACGCTGTACTATTACCGTAGGGCTCTGGCTATTCACTCCAAAGTGTGGAGCCTCAAATTCCTCCACCAGAAGACATCTCTTTTTCCCATCTCGTATGGATGTTTTGTAACAAGAAGGAGGTGATGTGGGTGGTGAAATGTGTCCCAGTGACGTGTGTATCTCCAGTCCCTAGCGGGTCATGCACAAGCACTCCACAAGGGTCACTTACACTTGAACATGTCCCAAGCTGAGCCGCCATTTGCACTGTGCACCCGAGCTGGCTCTGATTTACAGAGCCCGGAAGAGACCGATGGCCAAGGGAGCAAGCCGGGTGGCTGCAGGATCCTTCACTCAGGACAGAGAGAGGGTTGGGAATCTCTTAGAAATCCACAGTTCATTCCTGCCTGTAAGAGCAACACAGACTTCTCGCTAACTAAATTGCATTAAGGATGACCTGTCTCTTGCATTACAATACAGCTCATAACATGGTGTGGTGAGCTAATTATCTAGCTTCCCCATAGAAGCAACTCCCCAAGGTAAATTTTATCCTTACGAGTAAACTAGGAGGGGCGCCTGGGTGGCTCAGTTGGTTAAGCGACTGACTTCGGCTCAGGTCATGATCCTGGAGTCCCTGGATCGAGTCCCGCATCGGGCTCCCTGCTCTGCAGGGAGCCTGCTTCTCTCTCTAACCCTCCCCCCTCTCATGTGCTCTCTCTCTCTCATTCTCTCTGTCTCAAATAAATAAATAAAATCTTTAAAAAAAAAAAAAAAAAGAGTAAACTAGGAGGAGGCACCATGGAGTGCACGGTGATACATTCCAAACCACTGCTCTCTTCAATGCAGAAGTGTGCACTTTACTCCAGGGGCACATTTGCAGCAAATGTGGCTAAGGAGACCTCATGTGAGAGCATCACCCACCAACAAGGCATCTTTGCCTCACGCCCTTGCCATCCACAACTCCATACCTCACTTGAACATCTGCAGTATCAGTCGTTCCAGAGACGAGGCTTAGAGAAAGAAGATAAATTCTAGAAGTAAGAGTTTAAATCATCTTCCTCACTACTCTCGACGTAGGAATTGCATGGGAACTGTGCACCCCCAAACAGTCTTTTATGTTAATGCACAAATTTCACAAGCACTGTCATGGCTTTTGGTCATTTTCCTTCTGCTCCTAAGTCTGAATCCGTTTCTCACACAAAGGTGGTAAAGACCTGCCTACATTATTCAGGATATGCTGGCCAATGACACAACACTTATAAATGCGTCTTCAGAACCTCAAAATACTATTTTTTTTTTTTTAAATACTGTTATGTTTCTTTGGTGACGTACTGAGGGGATTCTCAAGATACGTGGCTATCCCATGGACTGAATCAGATATCACACATCGCACAAGATGACAAACGTAGCCAAGGATGGTTTTATCCAGATGCTTTCGATCTTTGCATCTTCAGGTGACGTAGGGAGAAAGCTTTCTATGAATAGCAACACGGTACACAAAAATGCGGTATTTTCACTAATACTGACCATGCACATGCTGTGTCAACATTCGCAATAGGCATTTCCTCTGGAACCACCTGTTGTGAAGGAAAAACCCTCCTGTAGTAACTCGATAACCACAAGGTTCAACTGTGGTGTTGCTACGTCTTAAATCTCTAGTTCTGCCGCAAAACTGCAGAAACTCCACATCATCAAGATCAACTACACAGGCTTCAAGGCCCTTACGATCAAATTGCTTTTGGTCCCCTCCCAAAGGCACATGCTGAGGAACCCATTAAAATGCCTTGCAATCATCTGAATATTCATATTCTCTACAGATTCAATCATTTCTGTCAAAATACCGCATGTTTGAGAGAAGGAAATCATCTGGACGCCGAGGATGATTCCTGAACCCTGTGATTTTTGCAGGGGGCCCCGTATTGTTCATCTCCTCTCATATGTTTCTGAGAGATTGCTGGTAGATGCAGGCCAATAGGTGAGCGTTCAGCTCTTTTAGCAAATTTGGCAAACAGCACACTGCTGGGTTTTGAGCTTCGACGGACAGGTCTGCAATCCTGCAGGGCGCCATCCTATCTTGGAATGGCTGTTCGCTTGCTTATAAAACGCAGTGAGGTTAACCCACGAGGTAAGAGCTTCGTCATCCACGTGGACTGTGCCCCACTCTTGAGTGATGACACTGATTTACTGTCCCAGCCAGAGAGATTTTTTAAAAATAAAACGCAGTGCAATAAGATGGAAAGTATTAGAAGTGATCACTCTGCTGGAAAAAAACGAAGAGAACCTTGTTTCTATTAACCATCTCTGTATATCTTACTAGATGACGATATAAAACATATACCTCATAAAGTTCTTAGATTTTGCACCCGATCACAAGGCAGCATCCCCTTGTGGAAAAATCTACAGGCGTGACTTTTGCAAAAACCCAACCATGCTCCAGTTACTTCTCCGAGTGTCCTAGGAGACGTGGGGTTTAGACCCTCTCTGGGCGCATGAAGCCTTCTCTCAGCACTCCACAGTCGGAATCTCGGAGAGGTAAGACTGGCAATCCTCAGTACTCACCACCTCTGGGTTCTGCTAACACAAAGCCTGAGCAGTGGCTACTCTGGCTGTGTAGGCCAAGAGTTAGGCTTACGTAGGCACCACTAACTCAACGGTACCTCCATGTGCCCATGATGACCACAGATGCTCAGGAGCATGACCACCAGCTTAAAATCCTCCTCCTCCTGTCCAGAACCGCATTACGTCCTTCCTCCTGCCATTGTAGCTTGGACCCACGGGTGTCTCCAGTCTTTGGTGCCTGAGAAACTCGTGTTCTCGGCATGTGCCCGGCAACTGACCACACAGACCAGGTGTCTGATTTTCACATGGTATTTCCACCTTTCTCTGAAGTTCCAAATGGAACAACATGGTTTTGTCTGGTTTTGATAGCAGGTGTTCTTGAGATAGTCTCTACTCGGGACTGCCATCGACCCCTCTGTGGATGGTTATTCCCTTTGCTCACTGCAACCCTCAACACTGTGCACCCAAGGGGTCCTAACCGACCTAAACGAGATCCTTCGCTCCACCCAGGCTCCTCATACACTTGTTCTGCTCAGAAATTTACATAGACTGTTTGGACTTCCCTATGTGGTTTCTGTCACAAGAACCACACCTATACTCACCCAATGCACACTTTAAGAGTAACGACCGTGGTGACACCTGAAGCCCCTTTGATCATCTGGGAGACACTTTCTGGCCTGGCTTCAGAAGCACAGGACGTAACGGAAACCTGGCAGAGCCCCTTGGATGAGAGCCCACTCCATCACACTTCCTTGCATGTGCCATTCCACTGTGCACACCCCTCCTCCCGGGAGCCTGACTGGAGAAATCTCCGCAGCTGGGAAGGGGAAACGTGGCTAGAAGGACCACCCTGTTTCTCCAGCCTCCATGGAAATCACCAAGCACCATGTGGCAACAGGCAGCACCCGGATAAAAGGCGATACCAACCGTTGTATGAACTGGACCGCGTCCGCCGTCAGCCTCTGCGTGAGGTTGTCGTAGGATATGGGCTGCTGGGTGATCTCATGGTTCCTCATCAGGAAGCAGTTTAGGGGCCGGAAGTAATGCAGGAAGCACACCAGAAGGCCGAGTATCATGGCGGCCAGGCAGAGAAGGCAGACGAAGATCCCGGGGGGCACATGGGCCAGCCCAAGGAACTTGAGCACTGCCAAGGTGAGGAGCGTGATCGCAATGATCTGAAGGGGGATGAAGACCAGCACCCTGATGCCCCCACTGAAGACGCTGCCTTCTCCGGGCTTGCAGTCCCTCAAGTTGGTCATGGGGATCCCATGGAAATAGTCGAAGCCGTGGCTCAAGGGGTGGTGACAAAAGTCTGTCTTGTTGTGACAGTTTGTCCCAAGGTGCCACTTGCCTGAGAAGACAAATGGATGATATGTTTAGACCCAACGAGCACCCCTACCTGAATGTGAGCTTCTGATCCCCACACACAGAAAAGCGGGATCGCTCTGCACATTTATTAGCCAAACTCCTATTCTGTAGAACTCCACAGTGTTTCACTTCCTTTTCCACAAACAACAGGGTATTAACTACTCACTCTACCAGAAAACAATAACTTAGTGCTGAAAATAACAAAATAAAACAAAAGGCAAACACCTGACATAATTAATAGGCAGGTGACAAAAATACACAGAAAAACACAAGTGTTTTTAAAAGACATTTCCTTAAAATTAAAGTCGTAGAATCAACTTGGTTTTGTCCCTTGAATATTAAAAGTGAAAATGAATCCTTTCTCAAAAAACTACCCCTGAAGCATGAGGAAATCACACTCATAACTCAGCAATTATTTTAAACATCTATGAACATTTCTTATAAAATGTTAATTACACCACTAAATTAGTGAGTGCCTAACAAAAGAAAAACATGATGAGGGTTTTATGACAAGAGGTGGGAGGACAGAGAATGGTCATTTTGCTTCTTTGAGAGATTTTAGGAGTCATCTGATGACCGGCATAGACCTATGTTTATCAAGTAAAAAGGGAGAATGGATCATTCCTATCAATTGAATAAAATCAATGAGAATGTCAACTGAGACAAAGTCTGACACAATTTTAGTATTAATATATAAAATGAAAATGTTCAATAGCTTAGTGTGTATATGTAGTTTTCTATGCTGTATGGCTACTCACAATTATCTATTTATCAATCTATTAATCTGTCTCATCTCTGTGTTTCATCTATCCATCCATCCATTATCCATTTATCCAACTGCCCATCATCCATCCATCCATCTATCATCTATCCATCCACCCATCACACACCCATCATCCATCCATGCATCCATCATCCATCCATCCATCCACTTATTATTCATCCATTCATTATTCATCCACCCAACCATCATCCATCCATCCATTTACCATTGTCCATTCATCCACCCATCCACCCATCATCCATCCTTACATTTAACCATCATCCATTCATCCACCCACCCACAATCCATCTCTCCATCCATCCATCTACCCATCACACGCCCATCATCCATCCATCATCCATCCATCCATCCATCATCCATCCATCCACTTATTATTCATCCATTCATCCAACCATCATCCATCCACCCACTTATTATTCATCCATCCACCATCCATCATCCATCCATCCATCCATTTAACCACCATCCATTCATCCATCCATCCATCCACCCATCACACACCCATCATCCATCCACGCATCCATCATCCATCCATCCACTTATTGTTCATCCATTCATTTTTCATCCATCCATCCATCCATTTAACCATCATCAAACTATCATCCATCCCTCCATCCATTTACCCATCATCCATCCATCCATCCATTTAACCATCATCCATTAATCCATCCATCAAGCATCCATCCATCCACCATCCATCCATCCAATCACCCATGATCCATCCATCCATCATCCATCCATTATCCATTTCATCTACTGATGTATCCATTCCTGCCTCTATCACCTATGTCATCTACCTTTCCATATATCCATACATCCGTCAGTCCATCCATCTATCCATCCATCATTATCTATCAATCTCATCTATTTAACTATCTATCCATCCATCCATACACACACACACACACACACAAAACGACACATATCTTTATTTTCAAATAGCCCAGATAGGTGCACTGCATTTTAATTTAGAATCAAAATCATTTCTTCCCCATGTGAAGTTGTGCAAACTGTTATCAGTGATGTCATCCTTAAGAAGACAGTTATCATGCCCTCTCCCTCTCGCCCTGCCCAGGCCCTCGACTCCCCCTCCTCAGCTGCACATACCTATCAGAGCTGTTGAATAGCCTTGATTCTTGAGAAGCTTGGCAAAGGTAATCTCACTGGTGGGAAGTCCTCCAGAAGAGGCCGAGAAGATAAACACCCCCACGAGGGACTCAGATGCCATTCCTGAAGCCGGGACAAAAGACCTATTGAAAGAGGAGGTCGGGGATGCCCCCAAGAGGACAACAGCCATGGCTATGGAGCCCGGGGGTTACCTGATCGGATGGGGTACCGGCCTGTCATGAACGCTGCCCTACTTGGTGTGCACAGGGGTGAAGCTGCCAGGTGGTGAGTGAGCTTCACTCCTCCTTCAGCCAACCGGTCAATATTGGGCGTCCTAGAACAGAAGACTCATTTAATTCATGATGACCTTGAAACATGCAGTTTCCACTGTGCATTTTATAGTGGGTCACCTCTCAATCATCCAGGGAAACTACCAGAAGGATGGGTGATGCATTCTGGTGCCTCTGCTCTGGGAATGGACTGGCCGATCCTGTCGGGGTGTCAAGCCACACTTGCTAGGCATTCAGAAATGAACCTCTTCCAGTTCTGGGACCACGCTGAGCTCTCATCCCACATCTTCCACTGGGAACGCAGCCCCTGCCTGTCTGCCAGCCTGGCTACCTTCCATCCTCCAGATCCTGGCAGAGATGGGATTCTCACGGGCCTCCTACCACCAACCTTGTCCCGTAAGGGGACCTGGTCCATGGGTGGGACACAGATCCTATCACAGCAGCTCCTCACTATAAAGGGAAAGCACAGCTAACTGCTCCCTCCTACACAGAGGCCCAGAGGCTGGAGCACACATCCTGTTCATCATGGCCTGCAGGCCCTGCTCCAGCACCCACACAGACTAGCCCTTGCTAATGCACAGCTTGAAGGTGAAGGTCATTTCATTCCATTGCTCATGTCCACCTGCTCTCCCATCCATGAATTTAGTGTATGCATTTCACACTCCACATTTCCACGGTGCTTCTGCCTTCCATCACAAGATCTAGAAGGCTTAGAAGACCAAATCTGTGTACCTGACTTAAACCTCCTCGTGCCTAGATTGGCCCACTGAAACATCTGACTACTCTGGGGTGTGAGCTGACAAAATATAAAATGAAAAATGAAATTCATAAAGAACTGGAATCCAATATGGAACAAGACAGATGTGGGGTACGTTGTGACATGAATTCTTCACTGTGATTGTGTACACTTTTTTTTTTCTTTCGAGATCTGGTAGAAATGGCATGTTAAAATGTGACTGTAAATATTTTGATTACAACACCTGAGTAGGAAAGGTTATCTATTATCTCAGTGAAATTCAGGAATACATATAGTATTAAAAATCATATTTGTCTTTCTCTGACTGATTTCACTTAGCATAATAGTCTCTAGTTCTATCCATGTCATTGCAAATGGCAAGATTTCATTCTTTTTGATGGCTGAGTAATATTCCACTGTGGAATTTAAGAAACAAAACAGATGAACATAGGGGAAGGGAAGGAAAAATAAAATAAGATGAAATCAGAGAGGGAGACAAACCGTAATAGACTCTTAACTGTAGGAAAGACAAACTGTGGGTTGCTGGAGGAGAGGTCAGGGGAGGGATGGGGTACAAGGGAGACGGGCATTAAGGAGGGCACGTGATGTGATGAGCACCGGGTGTTGTACGCAACTGATGAGTCACTAATACTACCGCTGAGGGGCGCCTGGGTGGCTCAGTCAGTTAAGTGTCTGCCTTGGCTCAGGACATGATCCCAGGGTCCTGGGATTGAGCCCTGTACTGGGCTCCTTGCTCAACGGGGAGTCTGTTTCTCTGATTCCCTCTGTCTGCCACTCCCCCAGCTTGTACTCTCTCTCTGTGTCAAATAAATAAATAAATAAAATCTTAAAAAAAAATACTACTCCTGAGGCTAATAATACACTATATGTTAACTGATTTTAAATAAAAATAAATATTAATAAAATAATAGAGTGAAAAAAATGATAAACAAAACTTAAGAAATGATCACGACTCTGATAAGAGGAACTAAATTAGTAGCAACAGAGGTATGAGAAGCGTCCAAAAGTAAGATCTACACGTTTTACAGAATGAGACCAAAGGTGGGGCGGAAAACGTATGTGGCCAATTGAAATCTCATCCTTGCCCGTGTGTTTCAAGGTCTAACAAGTGTAGGTGAGCACACATTCCAAACACGACAAGCAGAATCTGATGCAAAGCTTCAGCTCGGGACGGACACACACATGCACGCCGCGTTCTCCTCCAAAGAACAACAGATGCCCGCTTTCTGTTTGGCCTGACACATAGCAATGCAACACTCTCCCAAGCTGCAGTGTGGTGCTGAAAACAAGATGAGGAGCTGGCGTGAGGCCGTGACAGTCAATCGGCGTCCACAGCACTCACCGGCGCATCTGTCCCCCTGCTACATGCTATTATTATTCATAGATCTTATAAGGAAATTCTAGTAAAAGCTAATGATCTCTGCCCCCGGCTTGCGCCATTCGGTTTGTACTGATCGTGGGTAAGATGAGGCTCAGAAGCAGTTTATGACATTGTGTCCCCATGATTATAAAGAGAAAATGCAGTATTGATGCCAATACCCTATGAGACAAGGACCGACTTTCCTTTTTAAATCAAGGGGCCCTTCAAATACGTCTGTCGTGACCGTGGTGTTGTGCAGACGGGTGAGACACGGAACGCCCTCCTCTGTCCCGGACTCCAGTTCCCCTTGTGCTTCTCCCCCCATTGCAATGACCCCTGGAACTTGAGAATTTGTGCAGGCTTCCAACCTGGCATCTGTCCTGTGCTACCTGACCCGGCCAGGCTGGCTGCTCATGGTGCCAGCAAGAAGGCATGGAGGTGGCCAGCAGGGACGGGGGCCATGGGGCGAGCCAGTACCCAACAGACAAACTTGCCTAAGAGAGGGGAAGCAGTGGAAAGGAGAAAAGGAGGACGGGTGGAAAGCAGTACAGTATCTCTGAGTAAGAAAGAGTCCTTATGCAGATCTGTCTAGCGGTCCCTCTGGGTTTACCTTCTGCGAACAGATCGCGTCCCACCCGCCTTCCTAACGCCCGTATCCGTGTGCATCTCCGTAAAGCCCCACGTGAACCTGTGCGCCCGGAAGGGCTCTGACACGTGTAGGCGTTCTGCGCTCTGTGCGCGTGAGCTCATGTCCCTGCTGCCCAGCTCTTCACGCAGCAAGCCCGTCCCCGCACCTGAGCGTCTCGTTCCCATAGCAGCCAGGATCTCCGATGCCAAGGTCGTCGGCCATCAGCAGGACGAAGTTGGGCCTTGAGGCTGCGTGGCTGTGGACCTCAAACAGGAACAGCAGCAGTAGGACACGGATCCTCATCTTCCTGCAAAGGCCAAGCACACAGACGGACGTGAAGGACACCAGCATGCCGCGCACCCTCTCCTTTTGTGGGACCTTCCCCCAACCCGTCCGCCCCACACAATATGTGCTCCAAACACATGCTGGCGCATCGCTGGGCAAGGAAAGTGATGCTCTTATTTCCAAAACAAGCATTTCTTCCTCCAAGGACGGCAATGACCTCCCATTTCTTCCCAATGCAAAAACATACGCTCTGTTTGGAAAAATGCAAACAAGATCACGGGCCATCTCTTGCTGGGGGGCCAGCTCCATAATTCGCTAAAAGTTCTCTATTTGAGCCCTGGATGGACAGGCACTCCAGACTCGTCTCTTTTCTAAAATTATCTTTCTTTTTTTTTTTTTTCTAAGGGTAACACGGGTACATATTTCCAAACTCAAGGAGCACCAGGTTCAATGGCTGAGGCTGCAGGCCCAGGTGCTGGATAATCGCTTAGAGCAAATGCACCCAACGTAGGGAACCCACAGCATCATCACAACACACACTCACACTGGGTGACATCCACACCCTTATCCCTGCAAGCGGTGAGCACGTGACGTTCCAGACGGAGGGGCCTCTGCACATGGCATTCCAGATCTTGCAATAGGAAGATGAGCCTGGACCATTCAGTTAGGCCCAACACACTCTAAGTGTCCTCACAAATGGGAGGCAGTGGGGCATTCGGTAGGTGACAGGACCAAAGGAGGGGTCCGTGGTGAGCAAAGCGACGTAAAAGGTGACGTAATGCGGGGCCAAGAGCCCAGGAGTGCAGGGGCCTTCTAGAAGCCGCTAAAGCCGAAAGTCCCGAAGGAGCCCGCTGACACCCTCATTTCAATCCCGTAAGACTCACTCCAGACTTCCTACCTGCAGAACGTTAGCATAAATGAATTAGCGTGGTTTTAAACCTCCAGGATGGTGGTAGTTTGTTACAGTATCAAGGGAAACCAATTCACGCAGAACACGAAACAGGTGTACTGTATGCTGTGTGTCTGTTCACTGCTCCGTCCTACAACACAGAACAGTCCCTGCCACGTGCTGGTGTTCATGTTTTGGGCTGTGTCGTGTTAGAGACTTTGCTCGCAGATACCCGGGGTTCCTGGTGGTCTGCTCCCCTTGAAGGGTAGGACACGGGAAGCCGGATGGAAGGCCTGCGTGTGTGTGGGTAGGATGAACTGTCAGGACCTGGGAGCCTCTTCTCCTGACCTGTGTCTCCACGGAGCACCCCTCAATCTCCTGTTTGGGGCCAGGTGCCTCTGGCGGGCCGCATTCTGGGACTGCAGTGGGGTGAGGACTTGGCTGCCCTCCCTTCCCAACACGGACATTAATGACTCTGCCTCAATCCAACCCTTCGTTTCCCTGTGTCCCAGCTGGGCCTGATGCCCCGAGCTCAGAGCCTCCCTGATGCACATTCTCCAATGACCCAGCCTTTTCCCTCCCGGGGCTGGCTGACAAGGGGGACCTGCCAGGTCTGTAGCCTTCGGAGGGGGACCTAGAAATCCAATCTCTTCCACACAGATGTGCAAACCATCCTCAGGTTTCCACCCTCACTCCTGACCCCATCTTCAGAACAACCTAGAGCTTCTGCTTTCTGGCCCTTTCTGGGTCCTGGGATGCTAAGTTCAATCTTCCTGCTGGCTTCTGCATCCACAGACAGGGAGGGACTCCCTTCCTGTCTTCGGCTAACCCCACTCCTGCTCTGCCATCTTCCATCCTTGTCTAGCCCTCTCTTGGACAGGCGGTGGGGGTCAGTGTCCCTGTCCCACTGGAACCAAAAGCCTGACCTCCTTGGAATCACATTCTCAGCTCTATGGGTGGACGTCGGCTTCCCACTTCATCTGGCATCTGCCTCCCTCCCCACTCTGCTCCCCGTCCGAGTGGTTCTCAGTCCCAAGCCCGTGTTCCTGTCCGTTCAGAGCCAGAGCTGAGGCGGGGGCTATGGTGGGGATGCCATTTACCAGGCTGCCCGGCCAGGGAGAGGCCTGGCCCCCTGGACCATGGGGACAGCAGGGAGGCATGCAGGACATAAGGCCATACAGTGTCCGGCCACGTTCTGCAGCCGTGTTCTCTGTACTCTCTCCTCTCTGAACATAGCCTCTGATGTCAGGCGGTCTCTGCGACGGAGCAAATGAGCAACCAATGACTGACAACTTGTGTGGATACGAGGCTGGAAAGATGCTCTCTTTCCTAACCACACTGGGGACCCCACGAGGGCAGTGGCTGGGGAAACAAGGACCCATGACAGCCGTGTGAGACAAAGCGCCGACGTTGTCTCTGCTCCATTAACAACGCCTTGCTCCAACTCCACCAAAGAGGAGATTAATGAGGACGGTACCCTGTGTTTTAGATGGTTGGAAGGATTTATGGGTAATAGAAGGATTCCAAAATTAGCATCCATCTGTCAGCATGAGGAGTGACACACAGGAGAGCTTTGAGGATGACTAAAGACTCCCGTTAGCAATGCCCACGGAATGCGGAGGGTTGGCACGGCAGGGGTCCCTAAGTGGATTGAACGCCTTGTGAAGCCGTAACTAATACCAGCGACATATAAAAGAGCATGCTCACTAACCTCCCGTCCCCGCAAGGACGCCACGGGGGGCGTTCACACCCAGAGAAGCTGACAGCCACAATCCTGCGGTCACGTGCTTCCAACTCCTTAGTCTTTTCACACTTCGCTTCATATAGAAAATAAATAAATACAACTTCCTACTTCAAAACCCCAGCTTTCTGAGTGCATGCAGGTACTCTACGTGCTTTGCCTAGTTCTTTTCCGAGTCAGCTCTGTGAAGAAATACCGGGAGCAGGCGCTCATCACCCTTATTATTTTAATTGTATTTTTCTACTATTAATGATTTGTTATGTAAAGAAACGATGATTGGTTCTTAGCTTATTGCTGTCCTTAACAGGGTTTCCCAGCCTTGGCATGACCGGCACTCGAAATGGCAGAAGTCCTCGCTGTGGGGCTTGCTGGTCACTGGACGATGCTAAGCTGCACCCCACGAGCAAAACTGCCCCCCACAGAGAGCCTCCGAATTCCTATCTTCCTGCCACCCTTCCCGGCATCTGTAAAGTCATCTGCAACATCTCTGCATCCTGCACCTTCCACTCACCCTCTCGGCTGTCCCACGCAAGCTGCTTGGCGTCTACGGAAGAATTCGGAAACTGCCACCCATCCGAGTGACCGTGAATTTCTCCCTTGCGCCCACAAGCACGTCTTCAATGCTGACAGATGATGTTCCTCGGCCAGGACAGGCCCCCAACACTTACAGAAGCCTTTCAACTCCCACGCACGTGGGCACCAATCTCGGGAAGGGTCTTCAAAGAGAAAGTCAGGCCCTGAGCATACCTCCTTCCCTGGCTTTACCTGCCTCCTGTCCGTCACTGGTGTGTGTCCATGTACCACCTTCCCTGTTCACCAGGGGAGACCCATTTCCCAACACTCATCTTGTCCGCTGCCTTTGGGAACCCAAATCACAGGATCCTTACCCTCATGTGTCAATGACCCGAAGCAACACCTTCCTCTCTGTCCAGACCTACTTCCGCTCCCCGCTCTTGCATCTCTCTCGCTCTCAAGCATCCTCCCTTCTCGGAAAAGCAAACTCTGCTCCCCACTCCTCCCGTCCTCTGAAGACAACCACGCAGGGACCCGTGGTTCTGACTGCAGCAACTCGCTCATCCCTAACGCTGCCCTCAGTTCTCTCTTTGCTGGCTTTTTCTCCCTGCTTGTCAGGAAGTAGGGGAATGTGTGGAGAATTACGAGTCAGGGGTTTTGTCCCTGCTCAGGTCACCAGCCACGAGGTCTTGGGCACAAAGCACCAGCTGTCTGTGCCTCAGGCTCATCCACCATTCCCTCCGATCCTGTCTCTGCCGTGGGGAGTCAGTGCACATGGTGGAAATAAAGGGTTTCCACAAAACTGGGATCTCAGGGACCCCTGCACTCCCGTGTTCTCTGCATGGTTCACGGCAGCCAAGGCTCAGGAGCTAGCCAAGCATCTGCCAACAGATGGATAAAGAAGACGCGGTCTCTATACAGACAATGGAATATTACTCAGTCGTAAAAAGAAAAAATAGTGCCATTTGTTACAACAGTGATGAACCGGGGGGCTGTGATGTCAGACACAGAGAGACAAATGCAGTATGAAAAGAAATGTGGAATCTTGAAAAAAGAAAAGAGGTCGAACTCACAGACGCAGAACGGAACACACTCGCTTGGGGCAGAGACACGGGGGGAGGTTGGTCCAAGGGGACACGTGTTCAGTTTTACGATGACCACGTTCCGCGGACCCTGTGGACAGCATGGAGACCACAATTAATAATACTGTGCTGTGTACTTGCTACGGCCTTCAACAGTAGATCGTAAACATTCTCACCACACGCCAAAAAATGGTGAATAATAGGTGAGTTGATGAGTATGTTAATTAACTGATTTGTGATAATCATTTCACAATCTACATGTATATGAAATCACGTTTCCATTTCAGATGTACACAATTTTGTCAGTTATACCTCAATAAAGCTGGGGAGTAGGGCAGGAAGAACATCCCCCTGCCACCCCACAATGAAAAGAAAAAGTCTCCAAAATGATGAAGCGCTAGACAAACAGCCCTTGTTAGGAGGAAGTTAATCCATCTACACCTTTACAACTACAAGCAATTCACTGACAGTTCAACCAAATCCATTCCAATTCAACACACTTATGGGGCAAAAAACCGGATAACCGACACTGTGACAGCCTCGGGAGGGTTTCATGGTTGCACGAGCTGCAGAATGACCCCACACGCCTCCAGCTGGTCAAAGGAGGGAATCCACATGAGCATGGTGCCCACTCCAGTGACCACTGGAGTGACAACCGTGGCTTTGGCAGGTGATGTGAGGTTTCAATCCCGGCCCCCCACCTCCTGGCGGAGAAACCTGGGGCCATGCCTCAGCCTCTCTATTGGTACTTCCTCGTGCAAAATGGGGATAATCAAAACAATACCTTGTAAGCATCA